TACCTTCATATCCTGAATACATTGGTGGATTTTCATAAATATAATATAATTATACTTTCTGGAATAAAGTACAGAATTAGGATCATTTGAGAATATTGATATTATAATCTAGTGACTAAGGACATGCTGTCTTTTCATAAAGTAAAATGCATTTCTTAAAAATATAGAACAATATTTAATTTTTAAATATTTGCACTAATTTTCATTTTATGACTAACGAGTAGAAAGAACTGAAGTCATTTTGCAACATAATAATTACATGTAAAAATTTTACTATGCATTCCAAAATTAAACAAGCATTCTCATTAAAATCGGTATCTCTAATTTCTTAGACAATTAGACATACACGATTATAATTTCATGGAAAAATTATAAATCAATGCTGTTATCATTTAAAACATTTTTAGGTCATTTTTACTGATTATGAATTTTTTTACTTCCAAAGTTTAAATAATTTTTCTTTTTTTGATTTTATGAAGTTGCCTACAAAGAGGCTAGTTTACTAAAGTTACTTATTTTTAAATAAATAAATAGGATTTTGAGCCTAAAACTAGATCATTTTGCTAGCTCATTACCTCAATTCTAAATTTCATTTTCATGCTGGCCAAATTCTCTTGACATATAGTGGATTAAAGAAACAATGTATCATTCTCCTAATCCCCAATGTATAGAAATATCTATTATGTAAAATGTATGATTAGCTGTGTGGTAATTATTTAGATTTATTTATAATGTATATTTTTGATAAAAACAATTTATTGTATTTTCCAAACAATACGTTTGAGGATACTTCCATTATTACCTTTTAAATTAAATTATAGGAGTCTTTGGTGGATGAAAAAATATCTCTACATTAAACAATTTTACCAAAGTCCAAATATCTGATCTGTAGATTTTTTGAAATTCAGCAAAAGGTTTATGCCAAACTTGCATAAATGTTCAGAAACTACCTAATTATAATAAAAGATAAAGCTTAAATCCTTTAAATGGTAATATTAATGTATCAACTCAAATTTTGATTTCTAAATGTATAAAATTTTATTTCATTTCTAAATGTGAGGCAGCATTTAAAATTAATGGAGACTAGTACTTTGCTATTTAATGGAAGAAATTTACTCAATTCAAGGCTTTGTCCATTTATACATCAGTTTGCAAACACTTTGTTATTTCATAAAGAATGAACACATTAGCAAAACATAAGTACTTAGTTCACTGTGTTGAGATGATACTTTTGAATTCTCAAGCTTGATTTCTATTTTAAAAAGTTAGGTGAGGCAAATGTTAAAAACTTGGTTAGACGTGAAGTCGCTTCAGACTCAATTTTGAGAAAATTTAACTCAGTTCATAGGCTTTAAATGCTATATTCCTTCTAGCTTTGATTCCTGAGTTTTATATTATGCTACAATGTAAGTTTATTAAAACTAATTTAATTATTTCATTCTTTGAAAACTATTGTTGGTATTGGGAATTACTCAGTTGTGTTTAATATAAGGTTTATAATTGTTTTTAGACAGTAGCAATGTAACCTAAAAACCAGATAAATCTTTAAGATAAAGAAGTAGTATCTTTTAAA